TATTTATTTTATTAGTCCCCCCCCCTTTGGTACTGGTGATTGAGCCCAAGGGCACTTTACCACTGAGCCACATCCCCAGCCCTATTCTGTATTTTACTTAGTGAGACATAGTGACAGGGACTCATTGAGTTGCTTAGCGCCTTGTTTTTGCTGAGGCTGGCTTTAAAGTTGCGATCCTCCTGTCTCAGCCTCCGAAGCATTTGGGATTATACGTGTGCTCCACCTTGCCCAGCTTATTAGTTGTTGATGGATTTTAAAAAATATTTTTTAGTTGTCAATGAACCTTTATTTTATTAATTCACAAGTGGTACTGAGAATTGAACCCAATGCCTCACACATGCTAGGCAGGCACTCTACCACTTTGCTAGCTACAACCCCAGCCCCATGTTGATACTGCTTATCCAAAGCTGGCACTGTGAAGAACTATTTGAGGATTAAATGGATAGAAGACATGCTACTATTACTTTTAGAGGGTGGAGCTTTTATTTGGTGATATTCTCTTAAATGGCCAGTTTACATCCGTTTTCTCAACTTTGTTTGAAATGCATCACCTAATACACACTCCAGACCAATTAATTCAGTCTCTAAGGATAATTTAGGTGGGTACCAGTTACCCAGATGATTTCTATGCTCAATCAAATTTGAGAAATAGTAAAAAACCACCAATGGGCATAGTGAACAGGTCAGAAGTGTGCCAGTTTTAGGCAGGAATGAAAGCACAAAGTAGTCTCTGGTTGACAGCCTCTTAACCCTGCTGTGTGCCCTTCAAATATTGGGACCATGTTAAAGAAAGCACCCCTCACTGTACAAAACAGCTTATTTGTTTTGATGAGATGGGGCTGTCCCTATATAACTTCTACCTGTCTCAGTCTTGTAGTTAGAATGAAATATATTTTAGCAGATGTTTGACAGCAAGTCTGCTTAAAGTAGATTGCCCGAATGCTCAAATAAACCTCATTATTGCAGAGCCGATTTTCATTATCAAATTGAAGGGCATATAATTTTTTTTTTTTTTTTTTAAAGAGAGAGTGAGAGAGGAGAGAGAGTGAGAGAGAGAGAGAGAATTTTTAACATTTATTTTTCAGTTCTCGGGGGACACAACATCTTTGTTGGTATGTGGTGCTGAGGATCGAACCCGGGCCGCATGCATGCCAGGCGAGCGCGCTACCGCTTGAGCCACATC